GCGTTTGGCGGTGTTTCAGTTTTATCATGATGATAGGCTCAGCGTCGCTTATCGTCTATTCGGTTATTTGGCGTTCGTGCTTAATGTGACGCTGGACTTAGTGGGCATTGGTATGGTGCATACCGACCATGAATCATAGTGAGTGTGAACTAAAATGCGGACCCACAACAAGCGGATCCGGGAGCGAATTAATGCGAATCCGGCGCTTGACTACCAATCGGAAACTCGAGCCTCCCAAAACATCATTTCTTCTACATCGACTGCCGCTGCTTCATCTCTCACAATCGCTGTAATATACCAACATAAACATAATAGCAAATGAGGGATGGATGGCCCAGTGGCCTTAGGCGCAGCGACTCTCTCAGCACCGTTGTCCCTTTGCTCTCATGTTCTGCATCTTCCCGAGGCAAGGGAGTTATCTGACTATAAAAGTTCAGTTTCCGACCTTGCCGAACTAGGCTGGAATATCGGATAATTGTTTTGGCTGGACTAACGAGCCTATGCATAGTCCAATCAAAATCGCGTAACGAAATCGGTTCGAAAACTGCCGTGCAGATTTAGGTTGATTGCAAGATTTGAAAGGCATTTGTACCGTCAACTGCGCGTCTACAGATATTTGTATCTTTTCAAATCAAGGTACTCAAGAAATGTGATGCACTCCCCGAGGTAAGACCCGTTTTATAACAATATAGATCTTTAGTATCGATTACACCGCCTTGACTGGGCGCCGCCATTTTGTTTGAAGCAAATGCAGGTAATTATAGGTGGAAACTGATTGGTCAATAGGAGGGACATGGAAGGGGCATAACTTGTAATAGCTACTGAAGGAGCTACGATCGAGCTACGGAATTTCAACCTAGTTCGACAAGGTTGGAAATTGGTCTTTAAAAGTCAGTTAACTTCCTTGTCTCGGGAAATACTGTTCAAAGCAGCCTGAAACCTAACTCACTCACTCACAAATATGTACTCCAGCAATTACCAAACAAATTCAATTAGCAATAGTACCAAATCTTAATTCGTGATGGTATTTCCCAAATGCACCTGAAGTGTGTGATGTCGTCGTTGACATCCATGACACGTGTGTACTATAATTACTTGTTTCTGTGGACGTCGACAGCAGTTGGTGTCAGTACGAGATGTCTCAATAGTACTTGCCAGTATCAGGACCGTGCTCGTGGGTTTCACAAATGTAATAAATCTCTAAGAGCTGCATCACCAAGAGCTGCTTTCTTCACACATTAAGCTGACACGTCATTATATCATATAACTTACTGTTCAGTAACCCACTCACTCACACTCACTCATCACCGTGTATCTCATCGGTCGTATCTTAATGTGTGATATACAAAAACTTGTACAGACATAAACACACAAGGGAACATCTGAGAGAATACATCATAATTTCCTTAGTAATACAAATATACATTTGGGTGTAATTACTGCCCTAACTGACACAGACAGATATATAATGGTGTCATTTAAATGTTAATTCTATCGCAATTGTAACATGTATACTTAGCATAGTCTCTCGCAATAAAAGACTTAAAATGTTATGGAAACAATGGAATACGTGTACAACATGGTTGCTAGTAGTCGTCCAACTTTGCTCATATGTGGTTTCACTGATTGTGGCGTTGATAGATCATCTAATGCTCGTTGTTCAACGCCGCAATCGGCTATGTTCCAGCTATATGACGTCTGTCTGTAAATAATCGAGTCTGGACCAGACAATCCACTGACTGACATCACGCGCATCGATCTACGCAACTGGGATATGATTACATACATAAACAAAGTCATCGAGCCTGACCACCCGATCCCGTCAGTCGCCTCTTACGACAAACATTGGTTGCTGAAGAACAGTTCTATCCCGGATTACCCAGGGCCGTTAACCAATCGTATATCATACTAAAGTAATTTATGATGCACTAATGTGATTGGTATTATGAGCGTTGTAGACAAGATATCAATCGCGATGAGAGACATTGCACAGTGGAGATAGTATGCCCTTAACGTGTTTTGCTCAAGTTCCACTGGCCAGGAACACTCATTACGTGTTCATTCCCAAATTGAAACGCAAAGGTTAACCAAGAAATTATATTGAAACACACAGGGTTAGGTTTACAATGACAAGAGGCAATACAAATATGTGGCGGCAGTAATAGTGAGAGAGAGTGAATATGGTTTTACGCCGCTTTTAGCAATATTCCAGCAATATCACGGCGGGGGACACCAGAAATGGGCTTCACACATTGCAGTAATAAATAACACGCACCATACACACTCACAAATGTCCGGTATATGTCACAGTTGAATGTCTTGTATGAGGCACGTGATCCGTTCTGGAATCCAGGAACCAGTGTTGGAAGCAGGCTTTAAAGTTTTTCCGATAGGTATCCCGTCCGCACAGGGCAGGTAGATAAGACGCAACTTATGGAGGGCGTCGTCGAATCGCCGCCGTCTCGCTCTTACATCGGTACAGCCAGCCTTTTAGAATTTGCTTCCTCGAAGCTACTCAAATCATGTAGTCAGCCCGGAAGTGAGGTAGGGAGGTAATTCTATTCTGTTCACTGTCAAGGTCATTACCAGAACTTGATATTGTACGAGCGCCTCAATCAAATTGCTGCCAATTACAATCAACACTGCTGCCTACAGCAACATTACTACCACGTTACAGCCCTAGCGTCTGGCTAACGATATCTCTTGAAATTTCTTTAAAACAAACCAAGCTCTTACATCTTTTATTTCAACAGGCATTAGTCTTTAAAATGATTGTTATAACCACTTGCTTTGTAACCAAAATTCCATTCTTTTAATGATGTGTATGTCAAATTATATGTGTTTAATATGCAAGCACTTTCGCGGTTACAAAGAAGTTCCTGTTCCGGGTAATAAATCATTGTCACAAGGGAACATCCATTGATTTGCATGTTTTTTTCATAGCTGTATCCAACGAACTGGTTTTTTTACTCAGCACAGTAAACAATCGATTTGACATTTGGGTTTGTTCTACAAAACAAACTATTCTTTTGTTCCCCACTGCCAACAAGCTATCCATTTTGGGCATATTTCTTAACAACTTCATTAAGGAAATCTATCCCCCCCCCCCCCCCCCTCCACACACAAACCCATCCATAGTAATGTAATTTGGTGAAGATGAGGATTATTGAGATATCTGTTGAACGATTTTTTATTACTAGGACAACACTAACACTGACATTTTTACAACTTTACCTTCATCAGATAATACCTCCACGTTACTACGTTTGTAGCAGCATATGCGGTAGTAGCAACATCAGCATGAGTTGCATATTAGCGGTGACAAAACCTTGTAACAGTTACATTGTAGGAGTTAAATTACATCAAGTGCAACAGCAATGATCGCGAGTAGGAGCTCTAGCGGGGACAGAGCATGAGTGTTAGACACAATAAATAGTTGAGTGAGTGAGTTTCGGTTAACGCCGCTTTGAATAGTATTTTAATTATATCTGTCTACCATCTGTGCTGCTATCTATATATATCCTTCTATCTCTATTTATCCATGATATCAAAGCAGATATCAAACCTTTACCCATCCATGTATAAGTTTTAATAATTATGTACACAACCATCTCTCTACAATCCGTGCTATTATCTACATATGGTCCGTCTTTCTCTGTTCGTCTAGCCATCTAGTATCTTACTATATATTAAACCATCCGTTCACGTATAGAACCATACGCATCCATTAGTGTATAAATCCATACACCTATCAGGCCCACCTTACATCCTTCTATCAATCCATTCGTTCAGCCATCCATCAATGTGCTGGTATCAATCAATACATCGATAAGACCACGTTACATCCTTTCATCAATCCACCCGTCCGTTATCCATTATTATATATTTTTTACATCGATAAGCCCATCTGACCTTGTTCCATCAATCCATCCGTCCGTTATCCATCAATATATATTTTTTACATCGATAAGCTCATCTGACCTTGTTCCATCAATCCATCCGTCCATCCATCAATATATCAATTCCTCCATCCATATTTTCGGATTTCGTCAACCATAACCTGATTGTATATGACAGTTTGTGTGTATTATCGAAACATAATAACACATATATAACACATATTTACTCTTATAGTCACACATAAACACACCATACCCACCATGCCCTGGTCATATATGCACGTATGTATTTATTATGTTGCACTTTTACAAAAACAACCACTACATTCATATACACACAATTCAACACAGTTTCACACATTGTGTCTCATACTCGTGCTGTTTGATGGTTTACAATAAAAAAAAATGAATTGATAGTTTATGAGGAGGTACAAAAGGGTATCCATTAAAGGCAACATTTTCTCGATACCCAGCCACTCAAAGGACGCCATATGCGTTGTTGTGAGAAACTATATAAACATCAATGTATTGAGTTGGTACCACACTTTATAACTTTACCAGCTATAATACAGATAATTCCGCGGATCGAACGTCATGAGAATGAAGTCAATACAAGAAAATGACCTTTACATAACACCAATTAACTGGGGCCGGCTGTAGTGCAATAATCCATTGCTTCTATGTTGTGTTGTCGACCTTCTGTCCTGTGAATGCATAGTCTCTATCGATTCAATCCAAATTATTATAACTGGTGAGAGTGGCAAAATCTTTGGCTTCCTGTAGTAAGCCTGTAAGACTTGACGAGGAAGAGACAAATCTATACAGCATGAGAAATCATATACCTCGAGGACAGAACGCCCCATGTCGATATTCGTCTTACTATCATACTATGTGCCGAGGCTTGCTTTACAACTCTGGCTCGCGTAAAGCCAGTTAACACTACGCCAGTGTCTCGTTAATAACATATTACAATAGCACGCGAAGGGGACAGTTAGGCAAAGTTTTAGTTACTTGATCGGCAGCAAAACTTACACTTTTCTGTCACAGGGAGCTCCACCCATTAAATACAAGTCCCGCCCCGATTGATGCATTGTCTAGTACATTACTCTCGGCATCTGTTACTGAGAGCGATACTGCCAACCTCGGACCCCTCGGCCCATATGCTTGTCGGTGCGCTACCCTTCGTCTTGAGGTGATATCACTCGCTAAATTAGAGCGAATCTCTGCTCTAGGGTCACAGCGAGCCCAGCACCCCTGGTCAGGCAGATAGAGAGATAGAGGGGAGTGAGAGAAGACATGAAGCGAATCGACTCTAATCTTTATGCTGCTTGTATATAAAGGATTTGTTTTCGATTCCAGGGTTACCGAGAACTCTCCGGATGAGTCAAGATTGGCTCTAATCACATCAATTACACGGGTTTTGCTCAGAGCTCCTGTTTCGTGAGCTGGGGCATCAAACTTTTCAAGTTGGCTTTTTGTGAAGTTGCACTCAAGCGTAAGGCCACGAGAATGTCCGATTTTTCAAGGATTTTAAACTTTTTGGTTTACGCTACTATTTTAGCGTGTGTGAAATGTGGTCGTCAAGGTAGACAGTTTGTTGTCAGGGAGACAAAATATGGAACAGTCCGTGGTTTTGTTGATCATGTACATTCAAACCACAAAGTTGAAAAATATCTCGGTGTTCCTTTTGCATCTCCGCCGGTTGGAAACCTTAGATTTGAGGTAAGTGTTCATTTGACTCTGTTATACATGTACTATTAACATGCCTTCTCGATATGCCGAGTATGCTCACTATGATATATCAACAAGGAAACGAAAGTATAGAATCTCACCACAGGAATTCATTTGTATTGCACGGCCCGCATAGTGGCATGCTTCATAATGACTTTAGTTTAAATGAACTTGTAGGGAGTTGAGAAAATCGATACTCGGATTGTTTAACTTTAGTTTATTATACGTTACATACGTTATTATACACTTACGTTTTACATAATACTTTATTGCAACGTTAAGCTTATATATAGTTATTTCTTCTTCACAAAAGAACGGCATCTCTGCTACAATGGTGATGAAGATGTGAAATCCCCTGAAATGCTGTTCTTATTACAATCTATAACCGCGTCCTATTTCACACACGAGTAGTGTATCATGAATACCTATGTACCAGTTTTAATTTCATCTGTCAAAATACCTTTAACGGTAATAGTTTATATATTTTTTACCAGGAGGTATATGTATTTTAGTGTCTTTGAACGTTCGTATGTGGTTTCGATGTCATTTTCGTGGGTTTAATTTAATCGTTTAAGGCATACCAGGACAGTACCTTAATAATATTATGTGAATAGCTTTGTCTCACAATGGTGGCCGTCTATCTATGCTATAATCACTCGCATGTTGTTATCACCATGATAACAGTGTATGGTATTTTACATTAACAGCCTCGAACAGACACAACATAGTGATAATATTACATAGAAATTGTGTCACAATCAGCGACAATTAGTCTTTGACCATTACCACGTATAATATTATGAAACTGGTAGTCATAATATCATGTCTACTGAATATCAAGACACCAGCCATAGGTTGGTAATTGAATGGGCTGGGCACTTACTGATCCTTTTTAGTAGAGTCTGGTAACAAGTTGCATAACACTAATACTGAATGTGACTTGTTGTTGTGTAAGTTCTAGACGAAATATAGAAGTTGTGTTTAGTTTTGCAACACTATTATTTCTGTCTTTTGTTAGGTTTGGCAAGTATGATATACCAATTGTACCACGTATGTTAACAGTTGTACCACGTATGTTAAAAGTAATGCCATGTGTGTTGTGGCTAGATTATGGTTGTATAACAGTAATGTTATATATGTTGTGACCAGATTATGGTTGGTATAACAGTAATGTTATATATGTTGTGACCAGATTATGGTTGGTATAACAACAATGTCGTGTATGTTGTGGCTAGAATATGGTTGTATAACAGTAATGTCATCTATTTTGTGACTAGAATATGGATGTATAACAGTAATGTCATCTATTGTGTGGCTAGAATATGGATGGTATAAAAACAATGTCGTGTATGTTGTGGCTAGAATATGGATATATAACAGTAATGTCATCTATTGTGTGGCTAGAATATGGTTGTATAACAGTAATGTCATCTACTGTGTGGCTAGAATATGGTTGTATAACAGTAATGTCATCTATTGTGTGGCTAGAATAAGGTTGTATAACAGTAATGTCATCTATTGTGTGGCTAGAATATGGATTGTATAACAACAATGTCGTGTATGTTGTGGCTAGAATAATGTTGTATAACAGTAGTGTCATCTATTTTGTGGCTAGAATATGGTTGTATAACAGTAATATCATCTATTTTGTGTCTAGAATATGGTTGTATAACAGTAATGTCATCTATTGTGTGGCTAGAATATGGTTGTATAACAGTAGTGCCATATATGTTGAGGCTAATTTATGGCTGTATAACAGTAATGTCATATATGGTGTGGCTGGATTAAGGTTGGTAAAACAGTAAAATAACATATGTTATGGCTAGATTATGGTTGTATAACAGTAATATCCCATATAGCGTGGCTAGAATATAGTTGGTGAGACAGTAATGTAGTTCTGTCGTGACTTGATAATAATTGGAATACAGTTTAGTGGTTCTATTTACGTTACGTTTAGTATAAGTTAAGATTAACTTTATGGATTAGCTATTTCATATGATACACTCATAACATAAGGTTTAGCGTGATGAATCTGATCATGTGCACTGTCGGCACTATATTCATTTCCTTCAAATTCAGATCATGACAAGTGAACACGAGGCCGGTGCCTTGTGATATAACGGTAATGGTCCTTTATATATATTCAGGTCAATATGTGATTGCGAATAATTTATGAACACCGTCATCAGATTATTAAGTGGTTTATAGCTGCTTCAGTTGCAGTGATAAGGCAATCATCCCCAGTCACAGCATCAATATCGGGGCTTCAGCTGAGTTGTTTTCGCCTGCTCACAAGTTTATATTATCGGGGATTGAGTTCATTTTGATTTTCACTTGTTCACACGTTCATAACATCTGACATTGAGTTCAGTTTGATTTTCACTCGCTCATACATTTATATCATCGGGGATTGAGTTCAGTTTGATTATCACCCGCTCATACATTTATATCATCGGGGATAGAGTTCAGTTTGATTATCACCCGCTCATACATTTATATCATCGGGGACTGAGTTCAGTTTGATTATCACCCGCTCATACAATTGAGTCTATCTATCTGTCTGTCTCTCTGTCTTTCCGTCCGTCCGTCCGTCCATACATGATCCATCCATCCAACCATCCATCCATACTGGTATATTCAATATATAAGAACAGAGCTAACTACATCTACACACACACACACACACACACACACACACACACACACACACACACACACACACACACACACACGCACGCACGCACGCACGCACGCACGCACGCACGCACGCACGCACGCGCACACACACACAAACACACACACACACAAACAATATAATCGTCATTGTCTTGCTACTCGCCTCAAATATGAATGTTAAATAGCAAAGTAGTTATATAATGAGACTGATGCTTATCACAGCTGTCAGCTGGTTATGGCTAGTGTCATAATAGATATTCAGCATTTGTTCAGAGTAAAGATGGGATACTTTGCCAACGTGTAACATAGATTCAGTTACCTATTTCGCAGGCTTATCGTAAACAGCTGTGATAAACCCATTAAGTTTAATCACGGAGCACGACTTTTACCAGTGCTTCTACTTTATCTAAATAGAATGCGAATATAACTGACACTCTACATTTGAAATGTTTGAATAGTCAAATGCCAATTCAAGTAAAGTTAAGTAAAGTCAAAACACATACATTAAATATGTGAGTGACTATTAGAATCCAATAGGTTTGTTATCGTTTTTGGACATTTCTTAACATGTTTACTGCAGATGAAGTTAAAAGAGTGCATTGTATACATTTACAGCCTTCTGTCTTCTGGTTCATTGTTTGTTAAATGATACAAACATTTGAAAGAAGGCAAAACGTTTATACACAATATCTTAAACTGAAGTTTATAATAAGTTACAAATGAATAAAACCCATATAATTGCAACCAATCTCTGATGCCAGTGCTATAACTCTTAAAAAACAACAAGTATTTCGTTTCTGAACCAAAAAATAAATAATAATCTTTTGAAGTTTCATATGTCGAGTAGAATTTTGAAAATGCATTCAGTACTTGTTTACTGATGGGTCGAAAACCAGTAAACATTGTCAGATATCAAGTTAATGGTATACATGAAAGACATTCTTCTTGACCAGAATGTTTGAAAACGTGCTGTTGCTAGTTGCGTTGATATTTTCTTTCTAAACATGTCAAACAGGATTCAACAAGCAATAAGTCAGTTATAAGATTAACGTCCACACCAAAAAAAATCAATCAACTATATCTGAAAAGTTTCAGAGAGAAAAAGTGCATTTTTAGAATACAGTGGTATAATAGCTTTGTAGTTATTTTAGTAAGTTGCATAATTCCAAATAAGATTTATTGACTACTTCTTATTTCAATAATCTAGTATAGTAGCCAGACAGTCAAATTATTTGGCGCCTTTGGCAATCATCAGATAATTCCTCAGAAATAATATCAAATCCGGTTACACGTAGAGCTCCATATTTGATATTTGACGTATGACATTTGACATGGGGAACCAGATCATGTGAGTTCTGAGTCGTCACGTTTGATAAACATGGTGCTAAATGTTACAATATCCCTGGAGCGAGACAGAGCCTAGGCAGTTGCGTGCTAGAAGTAATTCATAGATACTTGCGACAAAAAATCGAAGTGGATAGTAAAGATGGCCCATATTTCTAGGCAACTGTTCAAAAATGAATACGCCTTTATTGACCATAGGCCGGGGTGTCGTGAAGGATATAGCCTTCAGTCAAAGCGACGTGCGTTTTATCATATTTATGTGCCTGATTAGCTCAGATAGAATTGGAGTGTATTTACTAGGAAATGTCCTTTTAGTTAAAGCCGTCGGTGAATGTGAGAATCTGCCCTGGATTCGATCCTTTCACGAATTAATCGAATTATTCTTAGGATAATAATTCAGTTTTGAAATGAATAGAGAAACTGTTCTATTTTGGTCAAAAAACCTTGCAGAGATCAAAAAGAAAATGTAGAAGCTTTTGTCACGTATATTGACAAGCTGTTCTTTATACGAGTGATCCTTTAATACTTTGTCTTTCTGAAACTGATTGTCCTCAACACGCCACAGTGACATCCTGACACGTCGGTGCATATCTGTTGTGATTTACGATGGCTAATCTGTGAACATATGGTCAAGTGCATAATGTCTAAATTATTGCAATAACGATTTTTGAAGCGTACGAAGAATTAATTACAGATCGAGACGTCCTTGCCTACAATTTCTTTCTACCTTTCTGGCTGCTTTCCTGTTGACTTACCTGTACACCTACCTACCTTTCTGAATGCTTTCCTAATGGCTGTACGCCTAGTTTGGTCATACAGTTTTACCAATGTGCATATCTGCACGTCCACCTTATTATTTATATGGATATCTTCTTATCCACTCAGATTGTTTACCTTAATTCATTGTATCTATCAACTTATCCATCCTTTTACCATACTACCTACCTACTTGAAAGTCAGGTGTCTACCTC